GTGGATATGTTCTTCGTACATCGGAACTTGCCAATACCCGCTTGCTAAGTCTAGAGCTGAGAAATACTTAGGCTGTAATCCTCGCTTAGCAATATTAGAAAAGATATCATGGATAATGGGCAATGGGTATGAGTTTGTTACAGTGATTTTGTTGAGCTTTCTATAATCCACGCAAAATCGTTTGCTACCATCCTTCTTTCCTACAACTACTACCGGAGATGCAAATGGTGTGCATGGCGTATTCTCATCAGTATCGATTTCTAATTGCTTGATTATGTTGGCTTCCAACATTCTTCCAACTTCTGCTGTGATGAAATCTTCGCTTTCCCATGATTGTTTGTACTTCTTAGAAAAAGTGACTTTCCCTTCTTCCGTATCGATTCGGTGACGGATGATGGTAGTTTGGCCTAAACTTTTGAGGTCCACAGCAAATATGTCTTCGTACTGTTTCAATAAGTCTTCGATTTGCTGATCTTGGTCGGGATTGAGTGTCTTTAGGAACGGAGAGGGTTGTTCTTGCACTTTCTGTCCTGCTGCTACTAATTCTGGAGCTGGATTGATAGTTTGCACTAGGACGATTCTTGCTATTGCTTGTTTTGCACTGATCAAGGTCGGGAATGGTGCAATTACATGCACTGATACTCGGAACTCAGCGTCTGTAATTAGATTAGTGACTACATAATTGGTTGGTTCCTCTAAAGCAATTAGTAATGCTGTTGTGTTGGGAGGTAACTTGAGTCCTATGCCTGTAGTTAGAGTTCTTGATCCTTGGACTTGGGCGTCCTGATTGGAATACAACACATACCCTCCATGTGACAAAGTGGGAGGTCTGGTGCCTGGAGTCCAAAGTTGAAAAGAAATGGCTCCTAATTGCTGCCAGTTGGTTGGGAAAGGTGCTGTAATGTTTTCCAATGGTGAGAGTCTGACTCTAGCTCGAATCTTAGCTTCTGTTTCCAATTGTGTTAGCTTTTCTTCAGGCAAGGCTGCTAGGACTCTGCAAGTCTGGACCATCCAAACACATTCATCACAGTAATCAGTTGGCTTTTCTTGGTGGATTGAATGCCAACATTGAGTTCCTGGTCCCTTATAATGGTAAGGTTGAGAGTGATGAGTTGGTCTTTTGGTGAGTTTTGCTTGCATTTTTCAGATTTCTTCCCATGTAACTTCTTCTTGATCAATGATACAATGTGTTTCATAGACCTCATATTGCACTTGTCACTTCTGTTTGTGCAGAACATATGGAATTTCCAATTGATAGACTTCCTTCTTGGGATGCTTCTTATTATAAGCCTTGAGTGCGCCTTGGGATATTTCATCTTCTTCAGGAAAGTCTACAAACATTGCTCTCCACTTCCTGGTTCTTTCTTCATAGTATGGAGCTTTTGGCCACTTCTTTGTTGGCTTCCATTCTGGGTGATAGACTGTCCAATCAAAACCAACATTGCCATAGATATATTTCTTGTCTATGACGTCTCCATTTGCTGCTAATTGAGTTCCTTTCACATACATTTCATATGCATCTGCTACATTATCATAGGCTTCTCCCTCTTGGTAGAATTCCCTACATCCGTCGCTATGAGCACTGTACTTCAATTTTTCATAGAAGGACTTCTTCCTCCGGAAATGATGATATTCATC